CTCCAGGCTTCCAAATGGCAGCCTATTTTAGACTGCTCACTCAGATAACACATATCTTCAATATAACAAAACTGTCAGTGAAAAAAAAACCAATCTCTCTTACTGATTTCCTTCCACTTTGGCATGAAAAGAAAAAAAAACATTTAAACTGAGCATATGGCTAAACAAAACATGTATCACTTCATCCCTATCTATATTGCCAGCTTACAATATAATGTTGCCAACATTAGTGTTGTGTACATTTCAAAAGTGATTAAATGCTGTGAAGTCATAGTTATTAAATGTTGGATTCAGGGCTGGATGTTGGATTTCTACATCACCATCATCAGGAAAATGCAGCTCTGTCTTGAGTGTGGGTAACTAAATGCCATAAAACAAAGGGATTTTATATTCTATTATTTTACTTTAATTTATGCAGTAGTGTTCCCTACCTTCAATTTTGGAAGCTTGGATGCTTATATCAACTATCAGAGGGATAACTTCAAAGAAAAGTCTTAAATAACGTGTATAGTGCTGATATTTTAACCGTGTAATGAAGTGGCATTGTGTTGTTATTGTATATTCTTTGTATGTTAACACATGTTGTGAACCAGTCCGAATCCCTCTTTGAAGGTGAGAGGGTCGGTATATAAAACCTCGAAATAAATAAATAAATAAATAAATAATCGCAGTCAAGGCTATTTAAATGCTACAGTTTTGAATTATATCCTGGCCATCCATTGAAATTTACTTCAGATGTGTTCCCCAATGGCCATCATTTTGATCAATTGGGTTGGCATGCACCTTGGGCATGTCAGTCATACTGATCATAATGGTGGCATTTTCCCTCTTGCATATCTTCCAACTATCCCAACTTGGCATGTACAATTACAATTAATCTTCTGTCATTCCACTTTTTCAACTGTTCATCTTAACTTACTTACTTACTTAGGCGATCCCTCATTGGACGAGTAGGATAGTCTTCCATGATCAGTATTCTTATGGATCCGTAGGTGGCTGTGGAGCCCTATTCTTGACCTGCATCTTCTCCCACAGTGAGGGCATTGGTTTCCAGGTGGAAGACGGTCTCGGTCGGGGTTGGCTTGATGCACCTTCCTTCTGGCACGTTTCTCTCTTTCACCCTCTATTCATGCCTCTTCAAATTCTGCAGCACTGCTGGTCACATCTTAACACAGCAGGGGGAAAGGAGAGCTGAGGACAGAATCTTCCTCTTCCCAGTAAGCTTAGGAAAAAGCAAACTGTTGCAGTCTTGCTTGTGTGTTCTTCCTCATTCTTTTTTTTTTCTTGCCATCTCTACCATGCTTTGTCCATGTGTCCTGGTTTTCATTTGGGAAGGCCATGTTTCTGACAGCAGAATGTCCTTGTACTGCCTAGTCCATCTGTGTAGCTATTTTGACAAGCAAATTGAACCTACATGTTGTCTGGTCCTTTATTCATTCAGAGAAAGGGCAATAAAAGATAGTATCATCATCATCATGGTGATGTTTGAGGATTACTATTGCTATTTTTTAAAGTTGTTCTTTTTAAAATCCTTATAAGTCACCACACTAAAGAAAATATTAGTCTGAGAATTATAGGGCATAGAGTACAAACTTATGCAAATTTATGTGACTTGCAGTTTCACAAGTCACTTCTTGACATAAAAAAACCCTAAGTGCAGTCAATTTTACTCCAAGGTAAATGCACACACTTTGCACTTGAAATTCTGGGACTCACTTTTAGTAAACACAGATAGGACGGCATTGTTATTTCTCATGTTTAAACGTGCTTGTGTATGAATATGGAATAAAGCTGATTATAGAGATGATTGCTTATCTTCTAGAAAAATGACAGCTAGCATCTAATCTTACGGTTAAAATTCAACCCTGATGGATATTAAAATTCAACAGTGCTTCTGGCTGTATGTATAAATTTTAAAACCTACAGTATGATGTGTGTTTACTCATCTGAAGTCTTACAACTACCTCTTTAAGCATGACAGAACTTTCCCAAGTTATATGTTGAAACAAAGAAGTGTGTGTTCCTTTTCTCAGGAAGATAGTCCCCCCTTCTCTAGTATTTCTTTCCACCTAAAGCCAAGGATGCCGTCTTGAACCTGAACTGGTGCCAGTCATCAGTAATGGACTGTATGAGGGCCAACAATTGGAAGTTTTGAGTCCCCTTAGGGGTGAGAAAAGCGGTATAGAAATACTGTAAATAAATTAAAAATAAGTTAAATCTAGACAAGACAGAGGTAATCCTGGAGAGTCAGAAGGATGTGGGATTACAGGCTGTGCTGGACAGAGTCACACTTTCCCTGAAAGATGCAGGTTCTCAGTCTGGGAGTGCTCCTGGACTCATCATTGATCCTGGAGCCCCAAGTGTCAGTGGGGCCAGGAGCGACTCTGCACAATTAAAACTTGTGTGCCAGATGCACCCATACCTTGAGATGCCAGATCTGACCATAGTAGTTCATGCTTTAGTCACATCTCACTCTGTGTGATTCAGAGATCAACCAGCTTCAACTGGTTCAGGGATCAGCAGATAGGTAACTAACTGGAGTGCTGCACAGGGAGTATACGACTCCAATGTTGCGGCAGCTCCACTGGCTGCTGCCCAGCTTCCGGGCTAAATACAAAGTGCTGGTCATTACCTACAAGGCCCTAAATGGTTCAGGGCCAGACTATTTGAGGAACCGTATCTTTGCTTATAAACCTACACAGACTTTGTGATCTTTGGAAGGGAACCTTCTCTCAGTCCCACCCCCATCCCAAGGGCAGTTGCCGGGGGAGAGAGAGAAGGCCTTCTCCATGCTTGCTCCTTCTCTATGAAATTCCCTCCCTAAAGAGCTTTAAAAAACTGTTTAAAACACACCTGTGTACATTAGCTTATGGAGAGGGAGCTGAGTAATATTCCATGGCCCCTATCTAGCTGATCACCCTGCTAGCATCCATCTATTTGGAGTGCCACTTGTCATTTTATATTCTTAGATTTCATGCTCCTATTTTTAAACAGAACTCAGCTGCTCAATGCTTTTGATGAGGCCACAGTCCATTTGCTTGTTGAGGATTGTTTTTCTGTTTTTCATTTTATTTAAATGTTAATGTAAGCTGTTGTTTTATATTGTATGGGACACTGAATGTCTGCCTTGTTTTGGAAGCTGCCCTGAGTCCCTTTGGAGAGAGAGGGTGGGTTAGAAATAAAATTATTATTATTATTTTCTTGCTTTTAAAAGCTAAGAACAGTGAGGATCCAGGGCACATACGATGTACCTCACACTTTCACATGAATGAGCTGTGTGAATGGGAAAATATCCATTATTGTTGGAAAATTAGGGACCAAATTTCATCCATAGGATTAATTATGATATCCAAATCAGAATGGACACGAAACACGTTCACAGTAAACTGTTGTTGGATCTTCATTCTTTTTTCCATAAGCTCGGATGTCACTGGTGCTAACAAATTTTTTGCTGTAAACACCATCGCATGTTAAACTAGTGGTTCTCAACCTGTGGGTCCCCAGGTGTTTTGCCTATAACTCCCAGAAATCCCAGCCAGTTTATCAGCTGTTAGGACTTCTGGGAGTTGAAGGCCAAAACATCTGGGGACACACAGATTGAGAGCCATTGCGTTAATGCTTCATATGCTTCTAATTTAGTGGAATGAGATTTTTTTCTGCTTCCCCACTATTCTCATTATGGTCACAATTACAATGGTGTATGCTGAAAGTAACGCTCAGGTAAGATTGCTTCCATTTAGGGGAATGGATACAGGGAGCAATTGGGTCTGCTGCCCTGGTTATTTCCTCCTTCCACAACTTAAACTGAGCTTCAACCTCTTTATTTGGTGTATCATCCCTTCAGAAACCTTGCATGCCAGAAAGTCTAAAATATACCAGGCAATGAGCTGTCCACACTAAGAAGAGAATGATCACATCCAACATAGAATGTGTGCTACATCATGAACTGGACCAAATACCACTTGGGATAGAGTTAGACCCATGATTGTCCTGAAGGACGTGAGGCTTTGATCAAGATCAATTTGGAGGTTGAAGTCCCCCAGGAGGACAAGCCAAGGAGACTCCAACATAATCTTAGAGACAACAAGGATAGGGCGTGGGGTAATGGGCTGGCTGGTAAGCAGACAGTCCACCTGTCACCAGGATACCCCTTCTCACAGTCTCCTGGGTTTAAATATATTAATTTGAGGAGAGGTGTACAGGACCGAAGGGCTTCCCATTTCCCTAGATCTCACTTACTGCTGCTGTGCAGACAACTGTGGTGAGCAAAGCTCCAAGAATTGACACCTTCCCCACCCCTCCCGCCCAAGTTTTCTCCAGTGAGATCCCAGTCAACACACTCCCTTTGGATCCTGTCATGGGTGGTAGTTGCTTTCTGACAGCTGCCTCTTCAACCCAGAGGGCCTGTTGCCAGGGGTCGAAGAAGGTGAGACCATGGGAGAGGTGCTCACCCGCCTCCTTGCCACACAGGGCTAGGGTTGCCCTGTCAATCAACCTGCCACAGAACTCTGCCTGGCCTTGGGGAGTCCTGTGGGCGCTCCCCTGTTTGACTTTAGAAGAGGAGGGGGGGGGGCTCTTAGGAATGGTGGGAGCTGAAGTCCAAAACAGCCGGAGGGCCGGCGTTTGCCCAACGTGTCCCTCTCCCCAAAGAGGAGGTGGCTGGGAGGCTGCCCTGGGGGCCTTGCCCTTCCCCCTCCAAGGAGGGCCCGTGGCTCTGGAGGGCTTCCAGCCTCGCCCTCCGCCTGGCGCCGCCTGCACTGGGGTGGCTCCCGTGGGCGGAGGGAGTGGGCTGGAGCGGGCGGTGGGTCTTCGCGGGGGCAGCTAAGGCCAGCGGGCCAGGTGTGGGTCTCAGAGGGGGGAGGGGAGGGGAGAAGGGGGCGGGGGAGGCAGGGCTCCGCCACTCGTCCTGCGCGTCGCCTCGTGGAGCCCACAGGGAGCGAGGCAAAGGGGCCAGAGCCGGGAGTCGCGGGGGAGGGAGGGAGCAGCGGGTGGGTGGGCGGCAGAGTAGTCGCCGAGCTGTCAAGGAGCACGAATCCGGCGCGAGGAGGGAAAAGAAGCGAAGGCGCGCGCGGGGCGGCGGCGGAGGAGGAGGAGAGGAGCCCTTGCCTTGGACCCTAAGAGCAGCAGCAGCAGCAGGTCGGTCGGGCGGGAGGGAAGGAGCCCGGAGAGGGGCGCGTGGGCTGGGGAGGGGCGCTGAGGGGAGGGCTTGGAGCCAGGCAAAGTCCGAGTGGGCTTGGGGGTGGTCGGGGGAGGGAGGGAGGGAGGGAGGCATGAAGGGAGGGGGCTGTGAGGGCAAGCGAGGCCCTTGCAGCCAAGGGGCCCCAGGGGCTCGACGGACACATCCTCTCAGGAGAAGCGCGCCTCGCTCCTCCTCTGCTCTCCTGTCCCGCGTGGCCCCATTGGAAGCGGACTGCCTCGCGCTCCCTTCCTGACGGAGCCCAAGAGGCGCGCGCCCCCTCGGTGCCTGCCCAGGGCTGGGGGGGGGAGGGTGCGGAGCGGAGAGGAGAGGCGGCCAGGGCTCGCCGAGGAAGGCAATGCTGGGAAGCCGGCCACGGAGCCTCCCGCTCTTCTTCTCCCCCTTCTCCTCCTTCCTCTTGGAGGGCCCCTGCTGGAAGGGGCGGACAGGGAAGGCGAAGCGCGCAGGTAAGCGAGGCTCCGGAGCCAAGGTTGCGCCTCCCCTCCCGCCCCGGGACGCCTCCTGCCTGCCTGCCTGCCTGCCTGCTACCTGCCCGACACTTTCCCTCTCCTCCAACACTCCCGGCGCCTGCCTTTGACCCTCCAAGTTGGGTGCCCACTGCCTAGCGCCCACCTTGGGAGGACTACTTCACGCGTCGCATTTGCTGTCTTCCCTGGGTGTTGTGTAATATCTTGGAGCACAGAAGCGACTGGGAATAGGGTTGTTGTTGTTGTTGTTGTTTTGGTTTGGGGGGTTTTGGGGGGGGGAGGGGCACTAGTCAGTTGAATACCAACCACTTGATTTGCACCTGTATTTTGAAAAGACAGCCTTTTGCAATGCCTGTGTTAACCCGATGTTCTGTAGTGTGGAGATGGAGAATAAAGTGATACTGGTGACCACAAACGGAGACAAGGAAAACCTACTCCACATTTGGGGGGGGGGGGACAAGTCAGTTGAATACCAGCCCGTTGATTTGCATCTGTATTTTGAAAAGACGTGGTCTTTTTACACAGCCTGAAACGGAGACAAGGAAAACCTACTCCCCATTGGCACTTGCACTTCATTCAATACCCCTTCTGAGGGAAATTCATTGCCTTAACTATAGAAGGGAGATCTCTGTTCTGATGTTGCTTTGGTTGTGTTAAAGACGATTGTTTGCTCTGTGTTGTTTGCCCATTTCCAGGCACAAGTGGGGGAAGAATGGGTTACCAGCTGAACACAAAGCCTGGTCTCTTCTCAGCGCTGTTCCTTGGTCACTTCCCATTTTCTCCTCTGTTTGCCCTCTGTCATGTTGCCTTCCCAGCACAATGACATCAACAGCCCCACACAATGCTTGAGATGCTCCAAAAGCTGAGAGCTTTGGCAGTGAAGGTCACTGAGCAAAACCTTTGCCTAATGTCAGCATTGGAGGAGACATGTTTGTTCCTTGTTCTCCCCAGGGGCAGATTTCTTTCAGGTGCTGAACTCTCGCCTAACCTCAATTTACCTGTGGAGGGCTCACTTGGAGAGAGACATGGAGGCAGAACTATGTCCATGAAAGCTGCCCCCTCCATCCCAGATAAAACGGGGGGTCTTTTGTTTGTTTGACTTTTCAATTCTACTTATGGGTCACCACATTTATTTGGGTCTCATACAACTCAATGGGATTTACTTCCAAGTAAACAAGTCAAGGATCACACTGAATGTTACTAAATACAGCATGTTAAAAGATCTGGTTACTTAAAATCTTTCCGTTCTCTCAAAGGAGACAGTCTGGAATGGTCTATTAGTGAAATGGCAGTGTTATGCAAACCATAACATTTGTACTCGAATGGTATGCTAAAGAGATTAAATAAGCCGAGCCAGGAAATCAGTCTAACAACCAGCAATGATTTAGACAACCTCTCATCTTCATTTTAATGTATGCTGTTACCTCTGTTTAAATCTGAGATGAAAGGAGATGAGAAGTCAATGGAAATGCCATTACTCATGGCCCAATCCTTTTCAAGTAGGATACTAAGAATGTTAAACATTTTGTGTGATGAGTCAGAAATTACAACCAAAACAGCCATGAATGACACCTCACAGTTGCAAAGAAAGTGGTGTGCGACTTGTTCATTCATGCGATGTGACTTCTTCATCGGCGATGCCAATGTTGCAGAATAAATAAAATGTCCAGATAAAATTAGTATTATGAATTTAAAATATATGCATCCCTCATCTGTGGGTGGTATTCTAGACTTTGAAGGATATGTCATGGTCTTTGTCAACATTTTTCAAATTCCTTCCGTAAGAATATTTCAAAATCAGAAGCATTTGTTGTGTATTTCAATTAATTCCAAAGCTAATGGATGCAAACAGCAAATGATTCATATATCTCAGTATTGTATATTGAACAGAAGCTGCATCTTATCTTTATTTGCTCTTTTGTGATGTCTAATTAAAATATGCAATTTGGATTCCTTTGCCAACTGCAGTATATCCTGAAGTACAATGCTTCTTCCCTTTGGAATGCATTTCATTGAATTTAGTTGGACTTACTTATGAGTAGGCTTGCAGAACATATGCTGTCTGGAGATGAAATAGCGCAGAATCTATAGGCAGAAAACACACACACACATATATATATGAATTTAAATATTCACACACACATACACACAAAGCAAAGATTCTGGGAAGAATACAAAAATTGGCATTTTCTTTAAAATTACCACCTTAAACACATGTTTTCTAACCCATGGCAATTTACAAAGAATTATATATAATTGTGCCAATTTTTAAAAAATAACATCTGTAAAGAATTGAGATGTTTCAAATTAATATATGTAATGTCTGGTACTGAATTAAGATTTAGATTGATAAAAGAGCAATTTTGCAATGCATTCACTCATTTTTAATGTATTTACTAGGTAATAATGTCTGCTTACTTGTTTTCTTTGTTCTGATGCACTGGAATATATTTAAATATCCTCAACTGAAGTGAGTGAACTTTAAAGGAAACCAGGTCAGGAATAGATTGCGGGCATATAATCTGTGCAATTTATGATGTTCAGAAATAGCTACCAGTTAAAGCAAAGCAAACTTCTTTTCCACGTACTAATCTTTTTTTAGAAAAGGAAAATATATTCTAGAATATTGTGGTTTCAGGAATAATTGGATATAAAATTTGAGCTCATTTATAAGACATTAAATGCCTATTTTAAAACAAGCGGGGAAAAAATGATTCACTCAGATCATTCTGAAATTCTATTGATTTCACTTTAAGAGTTTTAACGACTAAGAAGTACTTAACTTTAAACAGATTGTGTTTGTGCTATGTTATTAGATTAATATATAGGATAAAGTTCTTATACATGAAAATATGATCCTAAACCCAGTCAGGTTTTTAAATCCTATTAAACTCTGAGGTTTACAAACACTTTGTGTGGGATTACAGACAAAATATTTCAGTTGCTTAGTTTTATGAATCATTTGCTGTTTGCATTCATTTCCTTTAGAATTAATTGAAATACACAACAAATGCCTCTGATTTTAAAATATGCTTACAGAACGGATTTGAAAAATGTTGAAATAGACCATGACACATCCTTCAAAGTCTAGAATGAAAACATAAAAGAAATCTTTATCATAACATTAATTAGAACATCACCTTTTCCCCACTGTGTTCTTTTCATTTTACTGGGTGGCTTTTGATAGCCAGAAGCAATGAATTGCTAACCTCAAAGAGAATGATGTCATCACATTCTTCCACTTCATTGATCATCAAAATAGGACAATAATGGGTTCTGAAGTATATGCCCCATCTCTTTAAGATTTCACTTTCCTTGGAGGGACTGTCTGTCCTATGGGTCTGAATTTCAAGGAAAAGGCTGAATCCAATGTGTAAATAAATATATATATACTGTACACTCATACATCTAAGAATAGAAGGCACAGTGGTCTCTAAAGGAGTAATTGTGGCACGATCTTCAACAGAGATGTAGATATATAGCTTCTGGAGATTTTTTCAAACTTTAATCAAACGGAGGATTATGAATGCCAAGAAATCATTTTAAACAAATACAAATTGGAAGCTGTTTAAGCAATGTTGAGAGAGTATTATATTATTAGTGGGATGTAAAATTTACTGGTGTTCTTTTGGATATATATAAATATAGTTCAGGAAAAGGGTGTGATTAATTTTTGTAATAATCTGGACAATCATCTGATACATTATTTCTTACTTGGGAGTAAGAAAGTAAAACCTGTAATACTTGCTACAAAGTAATGTATGTGGTGCTGAGGATATCAAATTCTATCAGGCATAAGGCACTCCAAACCAAGAGAATTTTTACTAAAATGTCTAAAATGTGGCTTTATTGAATGCTGTGTGAGCTTGTAAAGTTTAGAGTGTACTGGAGCTGTTAACATACTCTTTTGGCATTCCCATATTAAAATAATGGCAGCATTCGGGATTATCGTGGAATGGAAAAACTGAATTGTCCTGAAATAGAAAGAGAAATGACGCTATCACTTATACAAAACCAATGTTTCCCCTTCTGTCCCCCATTTTTCTGATGATCACCCCCCCCCCCAATTTTCAGTTGTTTCTTTCTTATTCCAGAAAGGGTCATGTGTTTGTAAAGTGTTGGGACTGATTTGGTTTTTGCCATTATCCAGGTTTTTTTTTCAAATATCATCCTTTTCCCTTTTATTTTTTAAGTTTTGTGAGCCTTTTGCTGCAGTTTTAGCAAAACAGATGGTGATCAGTCATTCATCTACCCAAATTAGATGGAGAAATTATTGTAAATATTGCAATGTGAATGTGGTGAAAAGAGGGGCATATGAATTATGAGGGGACCGTGCTACAAGCCTCCTCCTGCAGGCAGTGGTCACAGAAACTGTTTTGCCGAATTTTTCAGTTATAACAAATACGGTGCCATTACGTATATCTTCAATATGGCAATTTTTAGCATGAACAATTGCAACATTCTGTGTGTACCATGATTAATTAAGGTTGTTATTTACCATGATGTTGGATGAAGTCTATATCTCAGACACCATAAATTGGGACTGACACACAGTAAAGAGTCTCTTTGGATATGTTGTGTGCTTCTATACCCCAAACATCTTCACCAACAGTTTATTTTAGTTCACGGGGCTTGTGTTGAAGCATTTCACTAAAGTGAGATGACAACCTGAAATGCAGGTGGAAAGTACAAGTGCAGTGGAAGATGCACAAAGCAGTTCTGGATTATGAATCTCTTCTGGCAATAAAAGTTTTCTGTAAGGTGAATCAGTAGTAAAAGGCCATTTGAGAACAAAAGTTTCTTGTGTCTGGCCTTGTTGTTCTTTGGGTTGGTGACAAAGTATCATACTTTGTGTGGCATCAAGATTTTGGACTATGTTTTGTGAGGATCTTTTAGTGATTGTGATGGCCATGTGATAGTGACAATGACAGTAATAGTGATGGTGATGAAGATGAGAATAGTAAGAGTTAAAGTTAATTTATTTATTTATCGTGTCATCAGCAACCATTGTATTACAATTCTAACAGAGCAAAACAAACACAAAGATTAAAAAGAAAAAAGAAAGAAAGAAAGAAAGAAAGAAAGAAAGAAAAAACCACACAGATTTTGCAAATTTGGTATTTGGTTAAATGTCCTTTGACCAGTATCTGGCCACTTGGAGTGCCTCTGGGGTTGCCGCAAGAAGGTCCTCCATCGTGCATGTGGCAGGGCTCAGGTTGCATTGCAGCAGGTGGTCAGTGGTTTGTTCTTCTCCGCACTCGCATGCCGAGGATTCCACCCTGTAGCCCCATTTCTTAAGATTGGCTCTGCATCTCGTGGTGCCAGAGCGCAGTCTGTTCAGCGCCTTCCAAGTCGCCCAGTCTTCTGTGTGCCCAGGGGGGAGTCTCTCATCTGGTATCACCCATGGATTGAGGTGCTGGGTTTGGGCCTGCCACTTTTGGACTCTCGCTTGCTGAGGTGTTCCAGCGACTGTCTCTGTAGATCTTAGAAACTATTTCTTGATTTAAGTCGTTGACGTGCTGGCTGATATCCAAACAGGGGATGAGCTGGAGATGTCACTGCCTTGGTCCTTTCTATTGGCTGCTACTTCCCGGCGGATGTCAGGTGGTGCAATACCGGCTAAGCAGTGTAATTTCTCCAGTGGTGTGGGTCGCATACACCCTGTGATAATGCGGCATGTCTCATTAAGAGCCACATCTACTGTTTTAGTGTGGTGAGATGTGTAAAGTTAATTAAAATGTCACTATTATTAATTTGATCATATGACTGTGCAACTACCAAGGTGAATTGATTATAGACAAAGATGCAACTGAAGACACGATTACAGGAATAGATTTGTTAATAGTTTCATTAAGATTTCTATGATGTTCTGTAGTTCAGTGATGAAGTAATCTAGAAACTATAATCTGATTACATTTTTCTGTATACACTTGCCAAGGAGTAAGTCCAGTGGAATTTGATGAGGCTTATGACTGAATATACGTGCATAGGATTGCATTGTCAGCTGGTAAATGAGTGATACAGCTAATCACATGCATTTTCCTGAGAAGAGGGTGGAGTTCATATTCATTTTACCTGAGGCAAACAATCTGGTTTAACAATTTTACATTTTTGAAATGATCAGTGGCATGATTTATTGGCACAATGTTTTATATGAAGTTGCATTATTAAAATTACCTTTGCTTGATAAATATATAGATATTTGATATAAGCAGGCTGTTCAATTGGTTATATATTCTACTTCTCCAAAAAAGAAAGAAGCAATGGATGCATACTTCGTTCTGTATGATGTTACAATGATGCATACATGAGTCCTTACATTTAAATCACTGGTAAAAAAAACATTTTTTTAACAAACCTCAATAGGTAATGTTTTATTGCAATAACATTTTATATCATACAGTCTCAAATACCACTAAAAACATCGAGATAGCATCCAGTTGACTTATTTATTTGATTTTCTCCCAAAGAATCCCCACTGTAGCCACTTTCAGTTACTGGAGTTTTCAAAATGTGTTCCACAACCTGAAAATGCAACTTAAATGCAAAATATGGGTTTGGAATTTCGAAAATGCTTTCTAAGTTTTAGGCAAATTCCAATGGTATAACTATAACTGCACCTTAGTGGCCTGTCACTGGTGATCTTTCCTGAATAGTTAGTACTGAAGGCATGATTAATTATTGTAAATTTCGTAGACATGTCTTGAAGTGGAAATGACTAAATGGAGAATCGAAAGGGAAAAATCGTTATTGTGACAAAATTCCTTTTGGAAAGACAAGGTCACTTGCAAACATGGTTTAAGAAGACCAAAGATGAGATAATAATGTCTTGTGGCACTGTAGTGATCTAATGATTGCAGACAAGGTGCACTCTTATTATATTATATAATCTTTTAAATACTCTGACGAAGACATACATGCAAATGTTCAGCTACTTAAGCTTTTTTTAGCTGATAGATTACAACCTAAATCAGTACATTTTAAAGGAAAATGTCTGAACTGTCTTAAATGTTCTCTTCAGTGAAATTTGTCTTCACTAATTTTGTCAAGAAAAGCTAGCAAGAAACTGCATCTGATTTTTAGCTAGTTGGGCAGCGTTCCTGCTTAAAAAATTAAAAAATAAATTAAAAGTTACCTAAATTCTGGACACTTGCTTATAAAACCTGATGTCCAAGGCATTCTTGAGTTATAATTTTTCTGTAGACTGCATTCAAATTCAAATTAGAATTAAAAACTGTCAGTTATATTTTTATTTAAAAATCTAGATAAATGAAATGTTTGTTTTTCATTTGAAATCAAAAGCAAACTAGACAGCTGCTATACATGAAAGGTCACATTAAGTCAACAATGACTTCCCTTGTAATGGGAAGTCATTTCAACTCCATCCTAATAAGGCATGTTAATTGTAATTTATATTTTTATATGTTTAAAGGGACTGAAGATATTAACAGTTGTAACATAGATAGTGCTTTAATAGTTCCTCCCAAATATATCCACAGGTAAGCTACATCACTTGATAAGAAACTTAATAGTAGCAAGGCTGCCAGTATCATCAGGATCTAGGGTTTTTTTTTAGGGAATACATATTTGCACATTTCAGACTGTAATGTTATACATTGCAGTTGACAACTGAAAATACATCAGGGGCTGTTTCTCATTGCTACACCCATCTGGCAGGCCACCACAGTGCATTTCAGTGTAACGTAAAGTGCTGTGATATCACTTCTGACTGCCATTTTGTGGGGGGGGGGAGGGGGGATCTGTTTTGATGGGGTTGGGGAAGTTCAGGGGAAGAAACTGTTTCCTTTGAAGGCAGTTGTGGGAGACTTTGGACAGTTTGAGGGCAGAAATCACCTTTGTAGCAGTTTGGAAATTTTAAAAATGGGGTGGGGGAGGGACTTCCAGGATGCCATGGGCTGTATTTCAGGATCTCAAGAGCCTCCTAAAGCCTTTGGACTATACCTTGCCCACCCTTGCTATTCACAGGAGCAAGTTCTACCAAATTAAGTAGAATATTCTTTAGAGTAAACATGCATAGTATCACACTTTGATTTAGTTATGTTTCTCATTGAAATTGATAGGGTATTATGATAACATGCTTATAATTGGTGCCTTTGATTCTTTCTTTAAATACAATTCTCATTAACAAGCATTGGCTTTCATAGGTTTTCAAATATTCAAAAATCATATGTATGCTTTGTATAGCACTCTATGTGTTGCACAAACATTGGTTACCTAAATAGCATAGATATAGATGTGGGGAAAATATTATTACTGTTATTGTTATTATTGTCATTGATAATAACAATAATAATTAAAAATATATAAAGAACAAAAACAATATGCAAAGCAAATGTTTATAATATATAAAGCTAAAACTACTACATCTAACACAGTTACATCTAAAAGAATCACCCTAACCTAAAATATTCCTACACTAATAAACACATACTAGATATGTAACTGCTAGAACTATTCTACAAACCTCTGTTGATTTTAACTCCTTGTTTTTCTACTCCCTTTAGATATTATATAAACACACTCCTACTTTTAATAACATGCCTCTCATTCAGAAATCCAATAGCTGAAAATTGCTGCAAAAATGCTAAACGAGTCCCAATCTTTTTAAAAGTTGGTCAAGGATCTCTCCTTAATCAGTGTCATCGGTTTGTCCATCATAGCTAGTTCACAAATCTTCATCAGCCATTCTTCTTGCATTGGGATGACTGGTTCTTTCCATCTCTGTGCATAGATGATTCTCACTACAGTTATCATATATAGTAGTAATCTTCTGTTTCCTTTCTCATTGATTGTCCAGCATTCCCAACAAATAAAAACCTGGTTTCATCATGATTTTGACCTTAACAGTTTCCTCCAGTATGATATATATTTGAGTCCAGTACTCAAGTACCACATATTTGAGTCCAGTACCACATATGATTAAATGTACCAACATTTTTCTCACATTTCTGATGTGGGAAAAATATTGAGTTCTGTCCATTTATAAACATAACTGACACCTTTTGTAGACAGATTTTAGATTTTATCTTTGTGCAACCTACAAATATCCAAATCTCCTCCAAAGAAATAACCTTTGAGAACAGATTTTATGGCCTTGATGTGTGGAAGTGGAAGAATAAGAACTCCCATTATCTAGATGAAAGATTATTTATTTGATATTCTGTGTATTGGGTTTTATTTATTTATTTATTTATTTATTTATTATTTTGGGAATTGCTAGTTTGTTTGAATTACTTGCAATATCTATGAATTACTGTTGTTTTCTTCTTTAATCGTTTCATGTTGTCTTTGTTGGGCTGGACAGATGAACTATGTTTAATTTTTAAGTCCAACTAATCTCAATGACAGTAGACCCACTGAACTGATTGCTGAATAAGCTACCACTTGTACTTCTGTTAGGATTAATAATTGGGTTTAAGCCCTAAATCTCTATTTAATTCTTTTAGTGCAAAATTAGTTTTACTAATTTATTCAGTATGTAGAGTTTTGTAAAACAATAAGTATCATCACCACCTATGGTAAATTTAAAATTGATTCCTTAAATTTTAACACACACACACACACATATATATATATATATATATATTCTTATTCATTTTGAGTAACTGTTAAAAGCAGGGAGCAGATTATGCAAGGGAAAACAAATATTTAAATGTGTATTGATCTGATAAATATGGAAAGACATGACTTTCATTACATCAAGTTTGACTAAATGCCACATCATTAGGCTTACCAGATGAAATGAGAGAAGAGGCTTCTGGGCCTTCAGTTGTTCTATAGAAGAGGAAATTCCAGCAGTCCTGCTTCTTGAAATTCCATTTTCTTCACAACCGTTAAAGACACAGGGGTCTTCTCCTTTAGTTCACCTGGCAACTCTACATATAATTTAATTAAAACTCGGTGAAGACCAAGAAACCAATTAATGTACACATTCAAGCACACCATTTTGTGCATTTTACTCTCTGTTAAGGATATAAATTTTGCAAAGCTACATATGCAAATTATTATATGATTTTATAGGGTTTTAGTATACACCTTTCCAATACCGCTGTGAGTCGCCTTCGGGCTTGAGATACAGCGGTATATAAGCAAAGTAAATAAATAAATATATAGGCAGGATAATAAGTTCATCAATATAACTTATTCCCAGTTAAGTCCATGTAAAAAATGCTTTATAACAGATTTTCAAAATAACAATCTGGGAAATCATAGATTTTCTTTTCAAAGTGCCTAATTATTATGCTTTTGCTCTGGTAAATTGTGTATTATCTTAATTGATGTGTTAAATGAAATGATAGAATGCCCATCTTTCTCAATGATTGGAATTCTATCTTTTGCTACTTAACATTAACTATATGACTAGTTTGTGTATTCATAAAATATATGGCTACTTGATTATTGTTAAACAGATGTAGTGTTGAGGTAAAGAAATTTAAAAGTCAGAGACACACAAGTGACCGTTCTTTGACAGTCCATTGCATTTAATTATAAAGCAGCAAATTTCCCTGAGCATGAACTTACATATAAAGTTACTAAGAAAGAGGAATTCTGATATTTATTTTTACACGATAGTTACATATGATTTCATACTATTTCAAAAGCAAGTGACTTTTATCTTGTTTCCTAATCTATTGACTGAAATAGAATAAAACACTGGTTACTCAAAAACATGCTAGAACTAACAATGCCAGTGGTTTGCAATAATATATACATTACCATTGCTTATGTGTGATGATGGATGCAGCAGTCCAAAGCATCTGGAGGGCCAATACAGCCCATCCCTGGTTTATAGCAAGTGTACATTGCTCAATGTTTCTTCTTCTCCAAGCAAAATTTACAGTGGAAAATTTCTACAATAAGTTCTGACATGTTAAATGTAGGCCATCATTAGAATGGTCCAAGTATTATATATGCAATGTTTACTATTTTCAATGTATTAAAATACATTATCTGTGATGTAAATCCTGCAAAGATGATGCATTGAATTGATAATTATCAGATAGTTCAGTGTTCCCAAGAGTAGACTACTCAGGAGGAACTGGTTGACCCACATGCTATTCCCCCTTAAAGGTGGTTGACAATCTATGTGCTTTTCTCTGTGTCCTTTTTAGGAATACAAATTAATTCCCCTTTCTTCAGCTGCCCATTTAATCGGATTTGTTTGGCAGATAAAGGAAGTGGAGGTGTTGCCATTTCTTCAAGGTCTTAGTGGGATTCTCAGTCTCAACTGGGAACAGGGACAAAACCAAAAAAGACTCAAAGCCTTCCCTTGTGCTCAGAGACTGGATTTTCTCCTTCACATTTTCTCCTTTTCTCTGTTCTTTCACATAAAAATCAAGTATGTGTATACAAATGTTCATGGGGCCCAGCTCTGGATGTATTGATTTAAACTGAGAGAAACCCTTGGCAAGACACAGTGCTGAAAAACAGGGTCAAAATCTGAAGTGACTTACTATATCTATTTTTAAATAAGACATTTAAGTTCATGTTAGATAAGAAATAGTTTTTCAGAAAGCAAACAGCCTGATCAACATAGCACCAAAGGGGGTGGGGGTTGTTTAGTTAATTGTATCCATTTTAACATCATACTCAGTGGCATTTCATAGATGAAAATAGAAACAGTGAGACATCAGAAAAAGGTGCCTGTGTGAACATTTTGTTTTCCAAAAACAGAGATCATCACTTGTAAGACTCCATTTATTTTAGGGCTTTCAAACCTGCTGCATACTGTAGGGCTCATCTACACTATATAATTAATGCAGTTTGACACCACCTCAATAACCATGGCTCAATGCTATGCAATTCTGGGATTTGTAGTTTGATGAAGAACCAGCATCCTTTTGCAGAGAAAGCTAAAGACCTTGTAAAAGTGCAATTCCCATGATTTCATAGCATTGAGCCATGGCAGTTAAAGTGGTGTCAAAACCACATTAATTCTACAGTGTAGATACACCTATTTATGTGTTCTGCTTCCAGATATCTGGAAAAGGTGCATCACTAAATTTGCTTATCAATTTTATTTTTTCTTAAGATATGTTCTAAACCTTAAAAGTCTTAGAATCATAGAATTGGAAGAGACCACAAGGACTATACAGTTGAAGTACCAAAAACAAAGTTCTGCTTGCAAAATTCTTCTCTTCTCAACCCACAATGTGTCATCTGAAAATTGGGTCTGGAGGATTGTAGAGAAGCCTGGTGAATGTCATGGCAGGCTGCCCAGGAAATTAGAAAAAGAAAATGTCTTACCTTCCTCCAAAGGATCACAGGACTTTTCATTAAGATCTTCCATTTTCAGAAAGATTTATTTTCTTCATGGAAAGGCTATAGTAGCTCAAAACCCGAATTTTTACATTGGGAAAAGTTAAGGGTGTAAAACAACTGAAGTACTTCGGTTTACCATACAGGCAGTCCCCAAATCGCAAATATCTGACTTATATGACTCTGTATGAATAGGCTCTCTCCTCCCCTCCCAATTCCCTTGTGTTTGCATCTGTCTCCTTTGCTACCTAGCCCTTCTAGGGCGCATTTACACTGCAGCATTACTGAAACATGACACCATATCAATTGTCATGGCTCAACACTATGCAACTTTGGGTTGTATAGTTGGTGAGGCAGAAGCACTCTTAGCCAGAGAAGGTTAAAGAACTTGTAAATCTACAGCCCCCGGGATTTCATAGCATTGATCCAGGGCAATTGAAGTGGTGTCAAGCTGCCTTCATTCTACAGTGTAGATGCGCCCCGACATGCATACAAATGTATTTGTTTAGACCTACATACAAATTCAGTTTAAGTACAAACCTACAGAACCAGGGACTTTCTATATAAATAGAATGCAGGTCTCTGCAGAGAGGTGATTGCATTATTACAACCAGCTGCAAATCCTATATATCAAACATTATTTTAATAACCAGCAGGACACATTTTTGCAGCAGGAAAATAAAATATACGTTAGGAAACTGCTGTTAGTGGAGACAACAAATATGAGTTTTTAATGCAAAACAAATCCTCTTCATGTATAAGAAAGGCATAAAAAGGATTTTAAAAATCAATGGGACTTCTCTTTCTAACCATATAGTAATATGTTGGGACCAGTTTTCTGACTGCTTCATCTGTGTCCAAGGAGGATACATTCATGGAGATATTAGCTGCTTTGGATCAAAGTATGCTGCTTAAGGCACTGCTATTGTATACAGGACTCATTTTGCACCATGACTACATGTTTACTGGCCCTAGAAAGTACAGTTTTATAACACCAGATTTTATAATGACACACATTTTTTTTTCGATTCTGATTTGAGTTCAAGCTACTTTTGCACTTTGCACTTAGTTCTTTATAACTGAGGTCAGCTGCTTAAAGTTTTTAAAGCAGATGAAAAGTTGGAAGACACAAGACCTGTGAGGATTGTCCTTGCCAGAACATGATAGTTGGGAGGTATAGCGGGGCTGTTCATCAATTTCTATAGCACTCTGCATATCTATATGGAACCCCCCCCCCCCCCCACATGCTGCCAGGTGGAGCAAGGAGGAATATCTTCTCAATATATTCTTGTGTAGTAAGAAAAATAAAGCATAGAATAAATGCTAAAATACACCACAAGCAAAGTTTGCTATGGGTTGATCACCCATATGTCTGAACTGGCTGATGGAATCCTTGCAGAAGTGGACAGTATCATTCCAGAATGCAGTTAGAAAATGTTATTTTCTTTCGGCATTAACATTTCCTACAATAAAACTAACACATCAGCAAAAAAGGGCCCTGATCCACCAGTTTCCATCATATTCTAGCTTTCTCCTTGCAAGTGTACTTTTCCTTTCTCTCTCTGCATTGTAAGTCATTAAAATGTACTTTCCCAGCAAATTTAGTGCTTCAGATAGCCACTTATTCTGACTTATTTTATTGAATAGATACATCTGGCCTTAGATACTTGTACAAAATGCAAAACCTTTTTTTTCTAAATCCAAACATTCAGTTCTAGTTCCTAGATATGTTAGGAAGAGTTTAAACTCAAAGAATTCTAACGCATGTTCAGTAATGTATTATTTTTGATAAACAACAAAAATACATATTTAAAATGCACTATGCAACCTCTCGCCCAAAGTCAAAATATAAATGAATTGGGATAGTGATTTTCCTGTGATAGGTAAAAGAAAATAAGGATAGATGAAGACAGTACTAGCCTAGCACTTGAATAATTTGGGAGTGGCAAATTGTTTTTGTAGGTCAACATGTTTATTAGAGAAAAGTCCACATTTACTATTACTGTGAGCAGAACATGGCTATGTAAATGAAAGATCTCTGTTGTTGTTGTTGTTTTACTTAGTATATTATTTGGTTATTCCATGTGCCACAAAGATCGGTGTTAATTCTCCACCACCCAATGTCCCTACCACATCTCATAGGTAGTAACTTTTTATCATATAAACTGTGTTATTTAGAAACATAAGATGTCATTATTTCATGACTATAATTGTTATGCATAGAAATGATTATCATAAACATACTTGATTCTAAGTGTTGCAATCCAGAGCAGGGAACGAGGCCCCAAGATAACTATCCACCACACTTGGCTGTGAAAGAACAATCCTTTTTTATTGAAGAAAAATGGTTACAAAATAAAGGAAAAATGCAAGTCAAAAGCCACAGCAAAATCAGCAAACATGAATTTAAATGGACAAAGCAAAACCAAAAGCCTCACTGGGAAATACTGGAACCTGTTAGCAATCCACTAACCGTACTTGATATCCTAGAAATCTTCCCAGACTATGGCCAGGGAACCGGGAGAACTGCCAAGGTCTTCATCAATTCTTCCTTTTCTTCTTTATTTCCTTTTTTTCTTTCTTTCTTTTTCTTTTTTCTTCTTTTTTCTTTTTTCTTCAAATTTTCCCAAACTATGGCCAGGGAACTGGGAGAACTGCCAAGGTCTTCATCAATTCTGAAACAATGCCTGAACTGAGACAGTCAGCCCGGCGTATTGCAATTAAAACTCAAGAATCGGTTCCGTGAACCGCCCTTCTGTTTTGAAGCCAATGTTTTTAATTCTTGAATTCGGGAGGATCGACGCAAACTGAGTGTTTTACTTCTGTCTTCCCAAATTTGGCCCCTTCTGTTGTCATTACAGTTAACAGGTGCAGAAGGGAGGGAAAGTTCAAGGTCTCCCTCTGAAACATTCTCATGAACACTGGTACTTTCATTTTCCAAATCTACAGAAGTTCCTTCCTCACTAATTTCAGGAACATTGGCATTTTCCAAACCTACAGCAGTTTCTTCCTCACTAATTTCAGGAGCATTGGCATCAAAAGGTACATTTCCATTAGCATCAGTAATTATATTTTCTTTAGCAACAGGAGGAACAAACAGAGAATCAGGTTCAAGTTCAAACTCAGGCTGAACCCCAACACTAAGAATGAGTTTTTACAAGTATTTATGAATTTGCACAAGCATTCTGTCTTGGCATGGTAAGATATAGTTTGAACCCCTTTTTTCTTGTATTTATTTATTTAATTTTAATACTGCCTTTTTCTCCATAAAGATTCAAGGCACCTAATAATGGTATGATACAACAGAATGTGTGTGTATGTGCATTTGTGTGTGTGAATGTATGTGTGTGTATGTATATATATGTGTGTGTGTGTGTATCTACAAAAATAAAAAACAGTTAAACATTTGAGTCATTGATACAAAAGTTAAAAAAACAAATGTAATTAAAATTACTTTTATGAAAGTAAACATGTTTGCAATTGTGTGAGCTTCAGGTCTTCAGTAGAGTTGAAGTAGATGTGTATATAGTTAACATTTAATTTAAAATTAAATCAGACATTTAAAATTTAACATCTTGAATCACTGTTGCCAAATGTGTTATCTAAGGTCTGGGAGTGTACTTTGGAGTACACTTTGGATTGAATTTAAATTCAGATAATTTCTCTCTATAGCTTCATGCAATTTTATATCACTGAGTAACTACAGAATTACTATAAGCCTTGTTTGAATATATCTCCA